AGTGAGTAATTGAACTGCAGTCACAGGGTATTGTTGAAGTTAACGTACGTTCGTTATAGTGTTTGTTTTAGCGCGAATATTGAAATTAAGTGTATCGTAAAGTTGTATTCGGAAAGAATAAACCAGTTTTATTAAGTAAGGACTTGTGTCGTTAAAGTTTCGTCGGAAACGAAGTTACGGAAAGTTAATTAACAAACGGAGAAGTAACAGGAACTTAACAAACGACCATAGACGTAACAAATTGGTGTCAAAGAGTGGGACGAAAAAAAAGAAGATGGAAACGCGAAGTGGCAAATCAAACTACAGCTTAGCAAATTTGATGGCAGCAATACAAGAACAGCAAAAGAAACAAGAAGAGAGATTATAGCAGTTGATGGAGGAAAAAGAAAAGAAACAAGAAGAGAGATTACAGCAGTTGTTGAAGAAAAAAGAAAAAAAACAAGAAGAACGAGAAAATAAACAAGAAGAGAGATTACAGCAGTTGTTGGAGAAAAAGAAAAGAAACAAGAACAGAGACAACATCAGTGGCAAGAAAACCTGCAACAGTGGCAGCTCGAACAGCAAAATAAAGATAAGAGATTACAGCAGTGGCAACTAGAACAAGAAAGGAAACAAGAAGAGAGACAACAGCAGTAGCAAGAAAACCTGCAACAGTGGCAGCTCGAACAGCAGAATAAAGATAAGAGATTACAGCAGTGGCAACTAGAACAAGAAAGGAAACAGGAAGAAAGTCTCCAACAGTTACAGGACAGTCAACAACAGTGGCAAGAAGTACAAATGGAAAACATTAGTTAATTACAAAGTGAATTAAATACACTAAAGGATGAGTTACTGTATTTTACACAAGGAGAATATATTAGCCATCGACCTAATCAACCCCAAACAACGGGAAGCCTCTTCCAGACCACGCAGCTAATCCCTAATGCAGACATTATCAGTCCTGTCAGAAGTTACATCCCAGACATGAGTGTCAGCAGTAGGGGTGATTTAATACGAAGGAAGCCACAGGAATTCGATGGGAAGGCACCATGGGAAGCATATAGAGCACAATTTGAGCAACTGCCATAAATGAATGGATGGACAGAGGAGTAGAAAGCAGTGTACCTGGCAACAAGCCTGAAAGGACAACTACTGGAAATACTTGGACAGTTGTCAGCAGACGACAGGCACAACTATAGAGCACTGGTAGCTGGTCTAGAGCTCAGGTATGGAACTCAAC